TGAGATCATCATAGTGCCTCATATGAGGACTGTTATACTTTGCTGATGTTAGATGTTATCCTGTCAATGGTCACTGATACGGCATCATTTAGGTATGTTAAGAATCATATGAAGGTTGTGAATAATCAATAGAGGATTCATCGCTCTTAGATAGTAAGAGATTATGATCTACATTTCACTCTGCTAATTTGATAATGAAATCCTTGGGCAAAGTATATCATAAGTCGAAAGGAGCTTTCTGACATATATTGACTTAATAGTGAGATGAAATATATAACTGATAATTGAGATTGATACATATTCGTATATCATAATTGATGTGATCATATTGACGAAAGGATTATAATTTGACTGTAAATGAATAAGTTTGATTTTGTCATACCATGAAATATTTTTCATCACATATCATAGCCAGACACATTACTAGATGTTAATATGGAACGACGGATGTGAATTGGTGATAAATTAAAAAAGGGACATTTTAATTTATCAATTTTGATTATATCAAAATAATAACTCACGTCGACCGACATCGTGATTTGGTACATGATGGGTAACACACAAAATGTGAACTAGAAGAATGAGATTTTAAAATTATTTAATTGACAAGTGTTGAAAAATTAATTGGGTTGCCTATTAATAGGCTCGAATTAATTAATTGGAATAATTAATTCATAGACTAAATTTAATTAATTGGATTAATTAAATATTGAATCAGGTTAACTTTAAGAGATGAGCCAAGTCCACTTGGACTTATATTAATAGGTTGCTAGGGTTTTGAAAAATCAGTAAAGAATATAATTTTAGATTCTTGCGAGCACAAGAAAGGAGAAACCTTAATTCTATTATTCTTGCTTCCTATGTGAATTTTCATTGAAGGTTGAATAATTGAATAGCTGTGGATTATAGATCATGATTGCTCATGTTCTGAGATCAACAAAGGAGTTTGCAGAATTTATCAAAAGTATTATTCTACCGCAATTTCTAGATAAACACAAAGAAGATTATTGGTAGGAATTGAAGTCTGTTTTGTTTTCCACTGTGCATGATTAAGTAAATTTCCAACAATGGTATTAAAGCCTACTTTGTGTTTGTTAGAAACTATTTTGTATGATAAAACTATTTTTCATGAATTGAGCAATTAAGAAAATTAAATTTCATTGTCGAAAATCTGTTTTTTAAAGGAAAATAATTTTTCGGTTGAAAACTGGATCGAACTAGCCACTGTAGCTAAAGTTGCCACGGCACTGACGTGCTTGCAGTAGGGAGCTGCCTAACACATTACTACGCATCTAGCGGTAGGGATAGATGTGGCAGCTATGCCACTGCTCAGATGGAAGAAGCAGCGTCGCAAATCTTCATGGTTTTAGGTGTTTCTATTTTTGAATTGTAGACAGGACCTCATATGTAATTTTTGAAATTTTAGGCCCTCAATTGCAATTATCATTTAGGGGGTTAGATTGCAATTTTAAAAGAGGGACTATTTCACAATTTGTGAAAGTGGGAGGCTCTATTTGTAGTTTTAGACCATGGGTCAATTTGCAATTTTCGAAAACAATTTTGAATTTAAAATTTTAAAATGGTTTTAAACTTGATTTTCAAATGATTTTGACCTAAAATTCAAACTTGACACAATTGAAACTTTATTTAAAATTGACGAGTTTTTATATTTTCGTTAAAATTAGATTTTAACTTAAATGTAAACTTTGACCGTAAATTGAATTTTATTTTGTTTAGCAGTTTTATGCTAAATTAAAATGTTAGTTCAATTAAATAAGAGTTGGACTCTAATTTATCATTTAATTAGATTTTGATTTAAAGTAAATTGTCTCGTCCTAAAACTTCAGAATTGGAGCTAGACGCTAATTTCATATTTAATTAAAATTTTATTTTAATTAAATAAGTTCTCCCTAATATCTTGGAATTAGAGCTGAGCTCTAATTTTGCTATTTAATTAAAATTTTAATTAAATTCAATAGCTTTAATTTTTGAAATTAGAGTTGGACTCTAATTTGATATTTAATTAAAATTTGATTTTAATTAAATGTACCCTCCAATTAAATAAATGATTAATATGATTAATTAATTATTTAATTGTTCTAATTCATTTTGTCTCAATTAGTTTAGATAATCTTAATTACTAAAAACTTGAAATATATATGCATAGAATATTAGATATTATATAGGAAGCATTTATATGATGAATTTTTTTTATTAGTGGATGATTATAGACTCGATCATGTGGATATATTGAATGATTAAGTTTATTTTGTTGTTTTATAGATCTACGAGCTCTTATTTATTTTGGACTTGTGAGTCTGTTGTAATTTTATGGATTGCATGTCTAATTATCTCAGCATGTGTGTCAACTAATATAAGATACAAGTTACAGCTGGACTAATTAAAGAAACAAGAAGAGCAGGAGCCATGGAGATGGAGTATTGTATGAGTCAATGCAATACCCCATAGGAACTGACCAACTAATCTTTCTTATGTCTCGAGAAGACTAGATGCGTGTTAAGCTAACATATAAGATTTGTGGAGACAAAAGAGTTGTCATCTTAATTATCTTGGAGTTGTATTGATATACAATTTGTTAGACATTATGTTGTCAAACGACCTCCCGGGCGATGATGAGAACCAATTTTATCAGTCGACATGAATGACTGAACGATAATTCAACATCGAATAATGGATGAACTGACCAAACGTTGCTTTACCTATTGGACGGCTAATACTCTTTGTGACTTGTTGATTCTTTCCATTGGAAGTTAACCCTAGTCGAGCCTACTTACCATATCCTTACTTACCTTATGTTGGCCACTTGACTTGCTATATATATATTGGTGTTTTCTCCCTAGTTAAACCTGTCCATTAGTTGAAGCCGTCCAATGAACCCGTGAGCTCCAAGAGAGACTGCCATGTTCTTCTGCCTTCATCTTCTTCGTGATTTCTTCTCCATGACAATTGCTTGAACCTTTGTGACTCTTACCTGTGTGGTATCCATCCTAAGTGTGTGGATTGAATCAACAAAGCAAGAGAGGAAAGCAACCATAGGAGAGGAGGCGCCGGCGAGTTGGTGACTTCGGTTTTGGTGTTGAATTCGATGTTTAATGGTTAACTGAGCCTGGAAATCACTTTGAGCAGCTTAAGGAAGATCCTAACATCTGGTATCAGAGCTTGGGTAGCAAAAAAGGCTCAAAATCGACTGATTTTCGCATCTTCAACCTAGAACCCGAATCTGAAAATCTGCAATTACTCACAAACCAAAGCTCGATTGGACAAACGGAGGCCATACCCATCATCAGCAGGTCGAGGGTGTAGTTGGTAGGAAGTTGTTGACTAGAAGTAGGTAGTAAGCTTTTGTAATATATATATAATGGCATCAGGTCATGGGGCTTAATGTACTGATATTTTTCCCAGAAAATTTTGTCTTTCTCTTCCTCTTTGCTTTACAAAACCATCAGCTCCATTCTGTTTCTAGCTAGTGTTCCTAAGAATGCTTGCTTCAGTTGCGGTTCCCAGCTGTTGTGCCATAGGCCTGTCCATCCAGTATTAAGTGGAAACTTTGGAACTTTAGTGTGGAGGTTGCCTTTTCACTTTCGTCTATGGTATATATTGAGATAGATGATGTATATGATCTCTTTACCATTATACTTCTCTACTATAGGACAAATAAAGTTGTTTGGAATTAGCACCTCCTTGATTTCCTTGGAAAACGATATGCACTCATCATCATCATCTATTTTATATGATCTATCCATATGATCTTCATACTCCTTCATTGGAAGAGTACTATAAGAAGTCTCATCATAATTTTTAGCTCTTTGATTTCCTTGATGATAATGTTGAGTCGATCTTCTATCACTTAATTCATCCATAAACTTTCTTCTTTATTCAATTACCACACATTTCTCTTAGTTTCTATCATATCATCATCAATTCTCGAAACCTGCAAACTGCTGCTTTTCTCGCAGAAGAAGCTAGAAGCATACTTTTCTCCATTCCTACCAGAATCACTCTGCCAATTTTCTCTCAAATTCTCAACTTTTACTCGCAAATACGCATTTTCCGTGGATAACACCTTTAGACTTTCAGCCATTTCCTGTATTTTTTTAGCAATGGATGCTTTTTTCCTCAAGCTGTAATGCTGAGCAGGAGAAATGTTAGTTTACAATTTTGCCAGTGTCCACTCCTGCTGTCATTTCGGGTTAGCATCAATATCCAAAGGCTCATCGCTACTATATAGTTTGATTTTGACCTTTGGTGATAACTTTCTTTTGGATTTTCCAAAGTCTGACTCATAAATTTAGATCTCAAGAATTTTAAACTTTTTCAGATATAATAAAATTTTACGGTCTACTTTGTTCAAGTTTTCCTGCCAATGGTGCCAGTAAGTTGACAATTGAAATCTAATCAATAAATTCTACTCACCTAACTATAATTTTCACTTCATAAATTCACTAGTTTGGATGACCAAACTGGAGTAAGAAGGGAAATAGCTATTTGACAGGGAGATTTGAATTGCATTCGCTTCTCTTCAAATGAGGAGGTATTTATAGATTTTCCTCCAAGTCTTGAGGCAATCTGGTCATCTTAGAAGAATGACAGATGGCGGCTCAATTTACTAGTAACTAATTCTGTTGCAACCGTCACGCTTTATGTGCATATTGACAGCTTGTGGCCTGCTGGGACGATGAACCAGTTTGCATTTACTTTACGCAAACCTTCCATGCCTCTATTACCTTTGCATATTCCTACATGCTTTGCAGGGATTCCCATAAGGTTCGTAGAGCGCGTTTTTTGAGATAACACATAGTCGAGTGTATCTTATTACTAAAGGAAGGTTTAGTGAGGTCTGTGCCCATTCTTTATAGGATTTTGAAACATCTATTCCCGGCAATTGAAATTGAAGGACAGATTTGAGTTCATGAGTGCCTTTAAGGACAGAATAGTGGAATAGCTACATACAAAAAAGTTCGACTTTCCTCAGAAGTATCGTCTTTAAAGGATTACTTTTCTATATATGTTGATCACAAGGTTTTGTTATTTGATAGATTTCATAAAGTTTGATTTACAATATCAGATAAATAAACACTCAAAACCAGATGAGTCATTACAATTTATTGCCCCCAAGAATCTGCATTATCTATTGGTGCAACGCTTATCGCAGTTTGATAACTATCCTTCAAAATCCAGGTGGAGGTCCATTATAGATCTGCTTGATTTTACAGGACCAGCTACACCTTTCAACTGAGGAGATCTTTCTGAAGAACCAACAGCATTTCGAATCCAACTTCTGCTTGTCTGCTCACTATTGATCGATGATATGGGAGAGAGCCTGTGCTTATATGGAGAATTAATCTCAGAACAAACATCTACATTTATTGGTCTTAATCTTGGAGAGCTCATTGATCTGACTTTTGCTTTGGCAGATTCAGTGGCTGCCATGTATGTAGGAGTGGCAGGAGAACCTGGAAACTCAATGCTTTCCCCAACTGATCGTTGTTTTCTGTGATAAAATGACTTTCTTGGCATAGAATCCTGATGTTCTGATTGATATTGTTTTTGCATATTTCTTAATTTGAGAAGTCTGTTCCCAAGTTCATCTCTGTTGTTTCTTGAATTAGTCGTGTCCAAGTTTACGAGATCATCTCTTTTAGCCAGTTGGGCATCTACCCATTGTTCTAACCAGTATCTTCGTCTTCCAGATACCTTGTCCCGTTCTGATTCTGCTGATCTCTGCAAATAATTTTTTTTCCTGTTATGGTAATAATTCATCGTTAGAAATGTTTTACGTTCAAGAAACTAACCCGATGGTGCAAGTAGTATTCCTTTATCCTTTCTCTCTTAATGGCCGCCTCTTTCTTGCTTAAGATCTGGACTTTTGCTTCTTCCTTTGTTAATGTACTGTCATCCCACCTTTTCTGGCTATTTGAATCTATCTGTAGTTTTGTAGACAATTTGTTAAATGAGGTAATTATGTGGACAAACAATGAGATAAATGCTTAAAAATTACATTTTATATTCTATATATACATTGGAAGCATTTTGTGTAAACTGGACTCGATGAGACTGGACAAGATTAACGAAGAGAGATATCAGATATGCAACAAATTTAGTCAGCTGACCTGTCGAATCCCGTCTAATCCAATAATAAACATGTTATAGAAGATGGAAGACTTATATATAATCTTGAGAATTTGAAACGAGTCTGCAACAAAGGATGTAGTTGATATTGAGGTGAAAAAAATTCACATTTGACAAATGATTAACTTATAGGATTCTATTACCATATAGTTAAATGTTGTTTCTTGAATTCACTGAACAATTTTTTTATCCAAATCAGAAAAGTAGCTTTCAAGCTTACTTTTATGTCCTTTTCTCCCAAATCTTGTGGCTTATATTCTTGAAAATGCTGGGTGCCTTTAACTCTTTCACACCTTTTTGCACAAACTTCTGACTGGATATTTACAATTGTCTGCAGACACTTGAGGGTGTTAATAGCTTGCTGCCGCACCCCCCACCCTCGAATCAGAGCTTGAAGTTTGACTACTCCTTTAAGTGCTCGTAGTGCTTTCCTTGCCTGCATAGCCCAGTATAAGAATATTTTTTTAACTTTTAAACCACTTCGTATAAAAGTTTAAGCTCAAAAATCGAGAATGTAATTATTTATTTAAATTTAAGCTTTAACATTTCTCTCATGTGTAGAGCGCATTATTTCTCAATATCAAGGGGTGACTAAAACCGAGGTTATTCATTCTCCAAAAAATAGATCTTACCAGGTAACCGCGGAAAACAGCTTGAATCTTGGTGGCAGCGAGATCTTGAACTCTACTGTCATACTGATTAGAAACTTGAAAAGAGATCGCATTAACGTTGATTTCAGATGATTTGTCAGTATCCTCCTGTTGATCAGCAGATTGAATGATGCTAATAGAATGATCAGTTTCTGCAACATTGGTGTTTACATCATAATGAATGCTCTGCTCTTCTGCTTCCTCAGGTGTACTTTCCCTTTGAGCTGAAACTAGTTTTTTCCTCTTAACAAAGAACGCCCATCTCTTACTTTTATCCTTCTGATAAACATTCGACGAAATTAAGTTTTATAATTTTCGAACAACATTAATTCTAAACAAAATATAAGCAAATTTGCTTACCTTTCCGAATCTCGAATACGTTTCCGAGATGAAAAATCTCTTAAATGCACTGAACCAGCTCTTCTTTGTTGCCATCAATGAACAAGAAAAGTGCAGAGCTCAAAGAAAACGTATACACAATGCATGTACAAAACTTCTAAAGTTCATATCAATGGGTTTATTTTTCTGTGTTTTAGGACTCAATAACTTAGATTTGTATGATGAGAGTCATGTGCTGGGAACATGGGCCTTGAGCACAAAGTGGGTGAAAAATAAGAGGGTCCTTCATATTTGTGGGGGAAAGATTTTATATCTCTTAAGTATTAAAGAATTAATAGCAATAGAACTCTAAATATTCAGTGCTTATGGGGCCTCTGGTGTGTCCCTGCCTACACTTTTTCTTTATAAATTATGGGGCGCATGTTCATGATCAGTAGGTGGATTATAAATTCGGAGACCACACTTGATCAGTTTGCCATTTATCCAACACATGCATGGTACCTATTATGATTTAAAAGTCACAAGAATTTGGTACCTTAGATTGAACTAATCTAGATGAGTTAATTAGAGAAGGGACCTTCTTTTTTTGCTAAATTAATATTTTAATCACTCACTTTCTTGCACAATTTCAATATTTGTTTTAATTAAAAGGCTTGACATTGTACATGAATTTTGATAGATATGTGACGATGATGGCAAGACTCTTGCTTTCTTTGATACCCATATACCAACCATTTCTAGGTGATCAGTTTGCCATTTACCCGACAGCATGCATGGACCATGGTAATCTATCACATACAATAGAAAATTTTATGAATAAATTGATATCTTCTTTTACCCTCGATTCTTCTCTTTCTTTACACCCCTTTCTCTTCTTAATCTTCAAATGTTCGTTCTCAAATATACGTTCATACGTCATTTACAAGTCTGAACTTTTTTACGTTTTCATTTTTATTTAAAGCTTGAAACATGCTTTAGTGCCACATGGACCCATTTACAATAATATTAATAAATTTTGCCTCATGTCTATGTTGCTTCTAATCCATTCAAGTTTATAATAGTCCAACCTGTCAAATATATCCTTAAGATCCTCTTTGTTATAAGGTTGATAATACAATGAATATATTTACTGCCCAGATGAAATTTTACTCTCTAAGAAGCTCAAAGTAAAGTTTGGATCTCGAAGGTTTGGAGAGCAATTTGAAAAAGAGAAAGTCACGAAGATGATAGGCTTGCCAGTCAAGGCACAGCTTGAGGCTAATTCGGTAAAATAAAATCTTACACGTAAAATTTCAAAGTAGCCGAGTATATAATACTACATAGCTAATTGACGAATTGAATGAAATTAATTTCAAATATTAAAATTTACTCAAAAAAGGAGTTCAATAAGTATATTGATGGACTATGATTGTACTGTATTTTGTACTGACAGCTCCACATCCTAAATCTTGCCTTTTAATAGAGTCCATATATTATTTGCTTACTTTACTCAGAAGGAATACAAATAGTTTAATGATCCAAGAGAGAGAGAATTCTATTATTGAAGGGAGGTGGGGAAGTCCCAATGTGCAATCAATAAGAGAATGTAAGAAAGTGTACAAAGCAGCCATTGGTGGTATCCAGGAGGACAGCCATTGAGAGGACCCTCAAGAATTGTCATCATTTGCAAAATCCAAACAAATTATAAAATAATAGATGGAAATTGGCTGAATATTTGAGTGAAAATGTTGGAGACAATTTGAAAGAGTTGTTATTTATGTTAGGTTTATGATTTGTGATCTCTTGTACATAGGCTAAAGTAAGCCCCTGTTCGGTAAAAATTAAAATATAGATTTTAATTTACGTCAAAATTAAAAATTAATTTTAATAATCTATTTTGTTGTATTAGTAACTTTTCAATCATATGTTTCATCAACTTTTATCAAAATATGCTAAAATTTTGATTTTAATTTCCACAAACAGGGCTTAATATAATGTTAAAAAAAAAAAAAAAAGGTTGAACCCCAACCTTAGGGGCCCCCACCGACCCTGCCCTGGGCCATCGTGGAGGAGGTAAATCGCAGGATGTGCCTCCCAGGAGCCAGGGTGGAGAGCACATGGATAGGCCAAGGCTGTTAACCCATATGGTAACTCTCGCTTGCAACAGAGCCAATTCCACCTTGCGGGGAATCGAACTCTGCACACTGCCGCGCTGAACCCTATCCGCCCTCCCCTTTATAATGTTGCTTTGTTAAGAAGCGGTTGTAGTTGATATTCGTTGGTAAATTTAGGAAATGTTTGATATCCGGCGATAAGAAACATGATAGAGATAAGATTTTTAAATTTTTTTTCATCATTTTTCTCTAATATTGTAGCATAGCGTACACATCATTGTTGTTTAATTTATACTAGTTTGTAGTTTTTACACTTTCACACAAAGTATCAAATATTAGTATAGGTGAAAGATGTGCTATGTCTCCACATGACAACAGCTTTAAGACTAATGTTATGGACATGTCTAGTACTTTGTGTTGGGTTTGAATCTAAGAGTGTGTTTGATTGGCATAAAAAATATTAACTAGAAAAGAAAATATTTTTCATCTTTTGTGGAAAATAAAAACCACATCTACCCAAGGAAAATGTTTTCCTTAAAAATAAGGAAAATTAGGCATATTTTCAAAAGTTGGAAAATGTTTTTCATAGAAAAAAAATAACAATCAAACACTCTAAGTATGAATTTGGGTGGAAAACTAATATTTTCCGTGGAAAATAAATGTAATCAAACACACCTTAAAAGTATCCTATGATATATGGAATAAAATAATAATAATAATAAATTTGATTGAACTTTGGGTCAAACTAAACTTATCATAAGAGTTGACAACAGTATTTTACATACTTATTTGTGTTCATAGACTTTTATATATATTGTGAATTGATCGAATTTCTACTTAATTTAGTCTAATATCATTGTAGGTAAAATTCGGACTTGGTTACTTGGAACAAAAAGATATTTGAGCTTGAATGAAATTGGCTCATATGAATTTGAAGATTAAATGGATTGCATTAGATTGACACAAAGCATGTAGATAGTAAACGAAGGAAAGTCAAAAGTTTCGAGAGTGAAATTTAACTTAAAAAAAGACTAAGTTTGTATAATTATGGAGATCTAGAACCAACATTGACTCTTATCGAAGTTACAGGGATCAATATTGACAATTAGGACAAATAAGGACCAACACCATAAGAAAAAAACGTGAATTAGGAACCAAAATGCAAAAACAAAATGAGCAAGAACAAATTTCAGAGGAAATACAAAAAAGGAGGAAAGAAAAGAAAATGGAGAGAAAATAGATAAATTGGGAAAAAAATTATCAACTTATTTCATTTAAAATTGTACTTATTACAATAAATAAGCCCATTTATATAGGACAAAAACTTAAAATCAAAATAGCTTCTAAAAAACTAGAACTTTATGAAAATATCAAAATCAATAAAATATAATCAAAACAAATAATTTGAATCAAACTTTACTTTAAAATTATATACAATATTATCTATATTCTTATTTTTATTTTTTTCAATATTTCTCTTTGACTAAAAGAACTCAACTCTAACGTGGTATACTACAACAGTACAAGTTCATTATCTAAGGAGATCGATCTTTTGGCTTGACCAAGTATAGGCAGTGAATTCTTGACAGCAACACATAGCTAAACTCGTTCCAAGGGAATTTTTCTTATCCACCAAATATGGATTGCAAACTCCACAAAGTAAAGTAAGGTGTAATCAATCCACAAAAATATCAATTGACTTCACATAATGAGCACAAGATTAATTCCTTAGATCGAACTGTACAAAAAAATGATTGCAATAGCTGAGGCTCGAGTGTATTGATAGGGAAACAATTCTCCCATATTGAAAATATAACTTTCATTCAATTGTAATGGCCAGTCAATAAGATTATCTTTATGCAATTGATCCAAAATCCTTTTCTTAATGTGTTTAGGAAATTGAGCCAAAGATTCACATAATAAAACATAACATTCACCCCTAAAGTGTTCAAGATTATATTACATATCAAAAGCAAGTTCATAAGTTTTATGATTAAAATGATCTGACTTCAATATTGGCATGAAAATAAGGAAAATTGACAATAGAGTATGGACTTAAAAAAGTATAACCATAATTAGTAGGCAAAAAGCCAACCTCGAAAGAAAAAATATGCAATCAAAAAATTACTTTGATAAAAATGTTGTAACCTAAGTGGTACAAGTCTGTTGAGGTAAAGTCGTATCAAAGTCAGCATTAAAGTGTCACAGAAGAATAGACAAATATAACTTCGATTGGAAGTCAAGACATGTTGACTATTTAGCTTAGCTGGCAACATACCCTGGGTAATTCATCAAATATGTCGTGGTCAAATATGTCGAAAATAGGCGTGAAAGGGGATACAAGATGATTCTCTAAAATCCCATACTCTCTATCGAAAGATTCAATAGGATCAACAATAAAACTTTATTTTTCTTCTTTCTGATGATAACTAACATAACCAGATATAGGAAGTGACTTCTGAGGCTTGGGTGTAGGCCTATGACATACTTGGCAAAGATAAAAGATTATACTCCATAGGTTGGACGGTAGATAAGCTTCATCTATTGAATGGGGTGCCAAAACGTTGTCACATTTGATTTTGGGATTCGAACTATCGATAAATCTAGATAATGTGAAATGGAGAGCTTCATGCGTTAAGATTGTGTAGTAGATTCGGTAAATGAGTGAATGAAATAAAGTTTACCATTGTTACGGCCTCTAATTGAATTCTTTTTTGATGTAATATAATTAATTGAGCTTTATTAATATTCACATAGAAATACAGTGAGATGACTCTTCTAGATATATGATTAATTTCAACCCAAAAAAGGTAAATTGATTTGACCAGTGAATTCGGCAAAGCACAACTTCAAGAATTGAATTTTGAATGCCATATTGAAGGAATAACTATGGTAAAATCATGAGTCGCAACATTTTAACCATCACATTGGATTAATAGATTTTTCCGTTAGTATTATAATTTTATTCAAAACATTGTCATCAACGTTTGTTTTATTTAAATAGGAGTTAAAATATTTAGATTAATCATTAAATAAAATAGTTCTGACGGGAATAGTTATACGGAATCTTAAGTCCATCTTATTATTCATTCAATTGACATTGTATACTTGTAATTTCACAAAACAAGAGTTTTCAGATAAATTTGATTCCCAGATCTGAACTTTCAGAAATTCTCATGGGAATGATAATCTAGACTCTGAAATCCATTTTATTACTTATTTAAC